GGGGACACTCTGAATGGCATGTCAGTCTGTCACAGACACAGACAGGGGACACTCTGAATGGCATGTCAGTCTGTCACAGACACAGACAGGGGACACTCTGAATGGCATGCCAGTCCGTCACAGGACACAGACAGGGGACACTCTGAATGGCATGTCAGTCTGTCACAGACACAGACAGGCGACACTCTGAATGGCATGCCAGTCCGTCACAGGACACAGACAGGGGACACTCTGAATGGCATGTCAGTCTGTCACAGACACCCTGGATAGTATAGCAGTCTATCATTCTTCATATGGTCACTTACTGTAATATGGGCAGTTTTAGGCAATTCATCAAATCATATGTTTTTGGACTGTAGGAGGTAACTGATGCAAACACGAGGAAAACTCAGGGCCTAAACCCAGAAACATGGATGTGTGAGGTTACTGTGCTAAAGACACCAGCCGTCTTGCTGGCTCTTGCATAATTATGGCATGAAAACAAATATTTTTAAAACTGTGAAGGACTAATCTGCACATTCTGCCCTTATCTAAGTCTGACTGCTTAATGAACTTTACCCTCTGTAATTTCACAGGTGTCTGAATGGTGAAACCCGTCCTTTTCCACAGCGGCGAGATGTGGCAGGTAAACAGAATTTAATACCCACCAGAACATGTTTTTTTATTATTATATTTTTTGACCTGGAGTGTGGAGGGACACAGATGGCGTTCATGGAGGAAGTGGGGGGCAGTGAGGGGTGGTTTGCTCTGCCTGACTGGATCCAGCAGGCCGTCGCTCGCCGGTGGTCAGAACTGACCACTTGCTGCAAGGCATTTATGCTACACAGCACTTGCAGCTCATTAGCTGTCAGCCCAATGCCTCTCCTGCCCAGCCTTTAATTACTTAATTATTCTTTATTAGGCACACTTAAATTGGTACATGCATGCTTCATGACAGACCAAGAGCTTTCTGTTCCCCTTACAGAAGGCAGAGAGCTTCCTGCACCCACAGTCTCATGTAAAAGGTCTTTTTATTATCAATTTATACAAGACAGGCCTCACTTATTGTTATGCTAACGGCACCATACAGCATTGACTAAAATGCTCGCTCTCTGTCTTGTGAGCAATAGATTCACATGGCAATCAACGCACCTTCACCAAACAAAATTGCTTTCAGAAACAGAAATCGTTTTCTTTCTCTATATTCATGCAAGTGATTTGTTGTGCAATGTCACCTTACTCAGTGGTAGAGAACCAGGTTTACATCCCCCCCTGCCCCCCCCCACCTCGCATCACTTTCTCTCTCCCTGCCTTTGTCTGAATCAGTCAATTTATTTCCAAATTGCAAGTTGAGTGTATGAGCAAAAGGTTTTTTTTTAGTCATGGTGAAATATGAAATCGATGCACCTCTATATATTGAATAGGTTTAATTTTCAGGTGATATTGATGGGGACGAGGCAGGCCGTGGGTGTCATGGAGGACATACTGTAACGAATCCCAGGCCTTTCTCGTCTGGGAACAAAGCGAGTTCTGGAAAAGTGAATGAGATGGATTAATGCGTCCCAAAAAGCTTTGCAGCACAGGCTGAGCTTTGCGTGGCTTTATTGCTGCCGTTGTCGGCCTGGGCCTGTTGGTTATTAGCGCTGCTGAGAAGACAGTGGCAGAGAGGCTTCGAATAACGCAGGTCATGAAACTGGGGGCTGACTTTGCTCCCAGCTACATTTGTGATTATCCTCCCAAATATCAACTGTAATTTAAAAATGTCAGGCGGTGGGCTTAGGGCAGCTGTGAGCGATGTGATTGGTCAGTGTCATCAGGCCGGGGATGAATGGAGCTGGGGGGGCACTGTAGAAGCGGCAGAAAAAATAGGATTCCAGTATGTGCAATAGATAAGTGTGGTGGCACTTAAAAGATGGTGGAGAAGCAAACCTGAATGGGTCTCTCTATCTTCTGCAGCTCCGTCCCATAGGTGGGATGGTTATGTGGTTGTGTTCACGTAGACCAGGGGTGCCCAATCTTATCCGCAAAGGGCCGGTGTGTGTGCGGGTTTTTGGGATAACCTGTAGGTCAGCTGTTCAAACCCAGGTGTGAGGACTCTTCAGCCAATCAGTCCTCTAATTAGTAATCTAATTAGGGAGTTGCAGCGAAAACCCGCATACACACCGGCCCTCTGCGGATAACATTGGCCACCCCTGACGTGGACACTCTTACTGCCCTTAGATCTGCACATTAGAGCTGTCTAAACCATATAATAGAATGAATGAGATACTCATTTTTGTCTCTAAGCCCACTCATGATTAATTATTGGATGGAGACTTTGAATGGTTGAATGAATCTGCGTTTCATTTGTTAGGTGAAATGCAATAACAAGTAAACACAGTGAGGGTAGATGTTTTGTTATACATGTGTGGTGTCTATTCAAAGTTTGTGTGCTGCTTCAAGGTGTGACGAAGTTAAAGTGCAGACTCACCCTAAGCATGGTCCTTAGCTCAGGGCAGTGAGTTTGTGTGCTGCTTCCTGTCGGCCATCACAGCGGCTCAGGTATGTCCTGTCCTGAGAGCACAGGCAGCTTGTTTGCTCTGTGTGATTTAACACGTCTCTCTTATTTTATCTCATTGTTCATGTGAAAGCACTCCCACATTGGGTGGGGGGTGTGGAATCGTTGCAGTACTGCCGGTGAAATGGCCTGCTTCTACATCACCTCCATCTCCATTCGGGGAGAGAGAATGTGTGTCTCTGAGCGTAAGTCCTGTTCCGCTATGCTCCTCTCAGCACTGTGGCACTGAATGAAAGTCCTATTCCACTACGCTCCTCTCAGCTCCGGGATGTGGCTCTGAGTGTAACTCCTGTTCCACTATTCTCCTCTCACCCTCATTATGTGCCTCTTTCAGCTCTGGGATGTGGCTCTGAGTGTAAGTCCTGTTCCGCTACGTTCCTCTCAGCTCCGGGATGTGGCTCTGAATGAAAGTCTTATTCCACTTCGTCCATATTATTCAAATCATGGTCCTCAAGGTCTGAGCACTGCTGGTTTTCCAGCCTTCCTTTACCTGTGAGCCAGGTGTGAAGCCTCTGACCAATCAGAATCAGTCATTCTTAAACTAACTACCTGGGAGAACTGAAAACATGGCCTGGATTTGGAATTGAGGTCCAGATTTGAAGAACCCTGCACTACGCTCCTCTCAGCTCCGGGATGTGGCTCTGAGTGAAAATCCTGTACTGCTACACTCCTCTCAGCTTTGGGATGTGCCTCTTTCAGCCTCTTTCAGCTCCATGATGAGGCATTGAGGGGCAGTCCTGTTACGCTATGCTCCTCTCAGCTCCGGGATGTGGCGTGCTCAAGGCAGTTGGCAGGTTATTTCTGCTTTGGCACTGCTGTGCGTTATGGCTGGGCATGGGGGTCAGTGCTATGTTTGGAACAGTGCATAACAGTGGGCACCTCCAACTGGGCCCTTGAAACTTGCTTGCTGCACCCACCGAACCCTTCACTGCATCTGCCAGCATGCACACCTTGTTTCAGTGGCCTGGCCCTCCTCACCGCATAGGCCTCTTGGTTCACACTGGGCGCACAGAAGTGAAGCCTGTGCCCAGAGCGTGATGCTCCAGCATTGAAGCTGAGGTGGGCACATCTGGGCACATGGTACCTGTGTGCTAGTAGCGAATATAACCTACTGCAGACACCATTGATGAAAGTCCATGACATTCACTAAGTGACATATGTTAATTTCCCATCCTACTATTACCTCATTCTACACCTATATGCGGCTTGGACATGATTGCTGGTTCTCCAAGCCAAGTTCAGTCTTCATTCTGTCGTCCTTTTTTCACAGCTACCACTCAGGTTTATGATGCTAGGGTACCACTTCTTCTTAATAATGTCCACACTGCTTATTACCAATTACCTGCCAATACTCCAGGGTTCACTGCCAAGCATGTAAACCTTAAAAAATGGGATCCAAGAGACTCAGAAGGTTTTTATTCATTGAGTCACGTTACGTCATCCTGCAAAAGCTCTATGGTTTTGTTGTATGGTGCAAGGCAAAGAGAAGGCTGCTTGTTCACTGGTGCTTCAGCACTAGTAGTAATGGTGAAATTCACCTTATGGGCAACCCTATTAAATGCAAAGCAGGCTACCAATAAACACCAGTATGTCTCCCACGCATATACGTAAGCACACTGATGCCCACAACCAGCGCTAATACAAGATAACGATTCGTTGTCTACAAAAGGCGAGATTCTTTTTGAATTATTAACAAGTTAACTTTGTAGTGGAAGCACTTTATCCCAAAGGACAAACAGCCCAAATGTTTGGGAAATATAATTAAGCGGAAGCTCCTTTTAAATGTCATCGCGGCCCGTGCCATGTTTCAAATTGTTCTGCATCAACAGAATTTAACGAGATGGCTAAGGAATCCGTTTGCTGCGAGCATGTGATAAGCCACAAATACAGTGGAGTACTTTCATTGATTGCCAAACGGAGGCATTCTGTATGCAAATCGCGGAATGGAGTGGCTTAGCTGATGCAGCCTCATGGACACCAAATAATGGCCTTTACAATTAATACTTTTGCGTGCTACCCATTGAAAATACCAACTCCTGTTTAATGGCTGTAAAACCTACACAGGCCTTAAAACATAATGAAAAAATGTGGTGTTCCAGAAGATTAATGGAAAGCCAAAAAACAAACAAAACCCCCAAGCAGGCACCCCCCCCCCACACACACACACACACCACCACCCCAGTTTTTGTTTTATGTTGCAACACATTTTGGATTAACTGATAATCTCTGCACATGAAGGAAGGTCTTCCAGCCTTCAGGGGTTTGACTGGGTGGGGGTGTGGTGGGGCCTTCACGACAGTAGGAAGTATTGTCTCATTCTTTGCATGTAATGCGCCCGTTCCGCACTTGTCAAACAAATTCCTTTTGTCATCTCCTGTCAGCTGTGGTCCCACCCTTCAGCAGCTTTTATGTGGCACGCGCTCATTTGTGCATGTAGGGTCAACAGAAGATGCTGAAAGATCTCATGCACCTTGGAAGAGATTTTGCTGGGAAAGCTGGAATGGAATTAAGTCATGGCTGTAAGCAGTAGATATGCAAGAAGTTAGTCTGCGGCTTTGACTAGTGTGTCTACTGTGTTCTAATACTGCAGGTATATTCATTGATTTAAAAAAGGCCTATAATCAAGGTGATGGGTGAGTGGGTGTCTCTGTGACCTCCACAGTTCCTGTATGTGTGGCATTTGCATGTTCCTCATGCTGGTGCTGGGTGCTTCGCATGCTGCAGGGTCTGCCCATAGTCCGTGCAGCTGTGTGACATGGTATCTCTAAATTGCCCTTGGTGTGTGTTTTTGTTTGCGATGTGTTTCCTGTGATGGACTGGTATCCCATCCAGGGTATCTGGCACCTCGTTGCACATGCATCCTGGCATCAGGCTCACCGCAACCTTGTACTGGACATGCAGTTATTTAAGATTGATGGAGTGTCTAAAATCTTACCATAGATGGGACCAGTACCAGTCAACCCATTGGGTGAAGCAGGCATTGACCTGAGGCGCCATCTACATGGGCTTCCACCAGACAAAACTCAATGAGATGTTTTGCCAAATGGCATGATTCACAGCAGCTTCTCAGGCTTGAACCCATAAACTTA